CAACATTGCTGGGAAACTTAAAGGACTGACATTGTTATATACACTTGGTTAATAAAGCAGTGTCAGGATTTGAGAGATTTAACTCCAATTTGCAAAGAAGTCACACTGTGGGTGAAATGCTAGGAGACAGCATCATTGCTACAAAGGAATCTTTCATTTATCTAAAGACAATTTACAGATAGAGAGAGGGAAAGAGAGAGAGAGAGAGAGAATCTTCTATCCACTGATTCACTTCCCATATGCCTGCAATAGCCAGAGCTGGGCTGGTCCAAAGCCAGGAGCCAGGAGCTTCTTCTGGATCTCTTGAGTGGGTACAGGAGCCCAGTGACTTGGGCCATACTCCACTGCTCTCCCAGGTGCACTAACAGGGAGCTGGATTGGAAGTGGAGCAGCCAGGTCTCAAACTGGTGCCCATATGGAATGCCAGTGCCTCAGGGGGTGGCTTTACCTGCTACACCACAATGCTACTCCCCTTGTTGTCTTATTTTAAGAAATTGTCAACCAGCACCGTGGCGCAGTAGGTTAATCTGCCTGCAATGCTGGCATCCCATTTGAATGCTGGTTCTAGTCCTGGCTGCTCCTTTTCTGATCTAGCTCTCTGCTGTGGCCTGGGAAAGCAGTAGAAGCGCTTGGGCCCCTGCACCCGCGTGGGAGACCTGGAAGAGACTCCTGGCTTCGGCTCCTGGCTCCTAACTTCAGATTGGCCCAGCTTCAGCCATTGCAGTCATTTGGGGAGTGAACCAGCAGATGGAAGACCTCTCTCTCTGTCTCTCCTCTCACTGTCTGTAACTCTACCTCTCAAATAAATAAATAAAATCTTAAAAAAAAAAAAAAGAAATTGTCCCAGCTTCCTCAGACTTCAGCAACCACCACCCTGGTCAGTCAGCAACTATCAATATTGGAGCGAGACCTTGACCAGCAAAAAGATTACAACTTACAGCAGGCTCAGATGGTCATTGGCACATTTTAGCTGTGAAATATTTTTCAGCTAAGGTATGTACACTGCTTTTTAGACATAATACTATTGTGAACTAAATGGACTATGGTATCATGTAAACATTACTTTTATAGGCACTGGGAAACCAAAAAATCCATGTGACTTGCTTGACTGAGGTATTTGCTTCATTGCAAATGATCTGGAACCAAATCTGCATTATTTCTGAGGCATGTCTACTTCTGCCTTGGACATCATTTCTCTGTGGAAAATGGAAATCAAAGACTATTTCCATGACAGATCTTGTTCTAAATATTGTTGCTGGAACCCCCTGGTGAAGTGGCAACTTGTGAGAAGTTCAATGGAAAATTCAGCTTTCCATCTGCAAGAGAGGAAGCAAATCTGGCTGGGACATTTGACAAGCATCGTAGCTCGGTCTTGGACATAACTCCTGGGTTCTCTTTACCATGGCAACAAACACTGTCATGGAACTATTTGCATTACTCATCTACAGTTGTTTTCTTTTCATCTCTAGAGATCATTTTTATGAGTTTTGGAAGGGTGGCTGGCTACAATTTTATTATTTCTTATAATAGTAAAAATGATATATGCTTATCATTTTTAATAAGATACAAATGAACATAAATAAGAAAGTCAAGATTGCCTACTATACAAAACATCCAGAGATGATAGTCATATTTGATGTTCAGATTCTTATACAAGCACACAGAAAAAATATATAATCAAGCTGGTGTTCCATTGCTTAATTTTTTTATTTCAATTAACATGTGGAGAACATCTTTGTCCATCTTTTAAATTATTGCATAGCTCTCCATTCCCCTTTGACAAATATTTAGCTTTGCCAGTGTGTTCTTATGATAAAGGACACACCAAAGAACATGCTGGTACAGGCATTTTGTGATTTCCTTAGGATAAATTCTTAGATGGGAACCTTGAAATGTGAGTATGTACATTTAAAAATTCTGTATCAATATGCCCAATTTCTCTCCTGAAAGTGGGCATCAACTGACATTCCTTTAAAGTGTGTCAAAGTGCCTTTTACCTCACACCCACATCAACACTAGTTATTATAATACTTTTTAAACATTTCCAGTGTTATAGGTTAAAGGTATTGTCATCTTTTACTTTAATTGGCATTTCATTTATGACTACACAGGTAAAATATCTTTATTGGACATTTGCACTTCTTTTTTTGTGTGTAATTTGGCTGACTGTGTTTCAAATCTATTTGAACTTTTCTTTGATTTCTGAGAGTTCTTCATAACTAAAAATGATTAACCCTTTGTTAATTCATGCTACAAACTGCTTTTTCAGATTTTCATAACTACAAGTAGTAAATGGTTTAGACATAATAGAAGCTTCAAGAGACCAACATATTGTTATCTTAGTGTTTCTTAACTACGGAAATCATGCTTAGAAAGGTATTCCTCATTCTAAAATTATATAATTTTACCTGTTTTTTTATGTGTTTTATTAAATATTTTATTTATTTGAAAGACAGTTATAGAGAGAGGTAGAGACAGAGAGGTCTTCCATCCACTGGTTCACTCCCCAGATGGCTGCAACAGCCGGAGCTGCGCAGATCCGAAGCCAGGAGCCAGGAGCTTCTTCCAGGTCTCCCACGTGGGTGCAGGGGCCCAAGGACTTGGGCCATCTTCTAGTGCTTTCTCAGGCCATAGCAGAGAGCTGGATCAGAAGAGGAGCAGCTGGGACTTGAACGGGTGCTCATATGGGATGTGTCGCTCCCCCTCTTCGTGGAGGAACGACACTAAACCCTGCCTAGGCTTCATATCCGAGTCACGGCACCATTATGTCGCTCCCCCTCTTCGTGGAGGAACGACACAGGACCCTGCGCTGTTCTTTCGTCTGCTCGGCCCTCCCCGGGTTTGCTGCTGGTTCTTCCCGGGTTGGCTACCGACCCTTCCACCTCCGTGGAAGGGCGGTTCCCCCTGCCACTTTCCCCACTTCCGCGGGGGAGCGGCACACCGCCGGCCGGCTCTCTCGGGGGCTGCTCAGGTGTTCCTTCAGATAGATGTTCCTCTTAGATGTTCCTCGTGCATGTTGTCTCTCTCCTCCTTTATAGTTCTCTTCCACCAATCCCAACTCTGCTACCCACACGCCGAGTACGCTGCTCTCCTCCAATCAGGAGCAGGTCCTACAGTTTATTGGTTGAACTGGAGGCAGCTGTGTAGAAGCTGATTCTCCCTTCTCAGCACCATATTGTGGGAGAGCAGATGCATAGAATAAGTCTTAATTCCAGTAACTTAGTCTAGTCCGAGTTGCTCCCCACAGGGATGTCAGCGTTTCAGGCCAGGGTGTTAACCCACTGCATCACAGCACCAGGCCATATAATGTTTTGTCTTTAATATTGAAATTTTTAAACTATTTGGAATTATTATTTTAAGTGCTGTTAATTAAGAACTCTAACTTTTCCCCTACTCTGTTAGGTGAGAACTCTACTTTTCCCCCTAATTTTTTTTTGAAGATTTATTTTATTTGAAAGGCAAAGTCACAAAGAGAAAGAAAAACAGAGAGAGCTCTTCCATCCACTAGTTCACTCCCCAGATGGCCTCAATGACTGGAGTTGAGTCAGGCTGAAGCCAGGAGCCAGGAGCGTCTTTCCAGTCTCCCTCGTGGTCGGTATGGGCCCAGGGTCTTGGGCTATCTTCCACTGCTTTCCCTTGTGCATGAGCAGGGAATGGTCGAAATGGAGCAGCCGGGACTAGAATTGGTCCCGGAATAAGCTCCTGGCTCCTGGTCCCAAATCAGCTCAGCTCCAGCCATTATGGCCATTTGGGGAAAGAACCAACGACGGAAGACCTCTCTGACTCTCCCTCTCTCTGTAACTCTGCCTCTCAAGTAAATAAATATTTTTTAAAAAAGAATTATCCATTATTTAAACCATCCACATTAAAAGTTCCTATTCAATAGACAGCTCAAGATTTTAGAATAACAGCTGCCACTTGTAACAGAAACAATTTATTTCCTTTGGAGGTGTGGTAGAAGAAATTTTTCCCTGGAGTCATACATTTTCATAAGGAGAAAGACCCAAAGACTTGTCTTCCAATCCTCTAGTTTTACAGGTGACTATGAGAAGTATTGAGGAGTGGGTGTTTAGCCTGGTGGATGAGGCTTTGTTTACGATGCCCACATTCCCCTCAAAATGCCTCCACACCTGGTTTGGGCTCTCGACTTCTGCTTCAGTGATGGCTCAGGTAATTGGGTTCCTGCAACTCATGTGGAAAACCTGGATTGAACTCCCACCTCCCAGTGTTGGTTCCCCCAGCGGTTGTGAGCATTTGGGAATGAAGCCCTGTTCCTGTTACTCTTTCTCTCTCTTCTTCTCAAATAAATAAGTTTTTTAAAGATTTATTTATTTGTTTGAAAGATGGCATGGTAGGAAGGGAGAGCTCTATCTTCCATCTGCTGGTTCACTCCTCAAACACTGGCAACATCCAAAGCTGGGCCAGTCCAGAGCCAGGAGCCAGGAACTCCATCTGGGGCTCCCAGGTGTGTGGCAGGGACTCAAGCACTTGGGCCATCATCTTCTTCCTCCCAGGTGCGTTAGCAGAAAACCTGACTCCAGGAGGAGTAGCCGGGACTTGTACTAGGGACTCTGATGTGGCTTGCGGGCATCCCCAGAGTCAGCTTAACCCACTGCAAAACAACACCTGCCCAATAAAGAAACCTTTTTAAATTTTTAAATCAGTTGATTTGTGTTCATGGTTAACTAGCCAAGCAGAGCTGAAGCCAGAACCAAGATTAGACCCAAAGCTAGTCTGCAAAGAAGATCAGAACCAAAGTATATTCTACTAAAACCCTGCTGTCTGAAGAGGGTTAAAGCGAGAGTTCATCAAGGTCAGCGAAAGCAGCATTAATCAAAGGACGACCCTCCGTGCTAGCTCGCCAGAATCTAAAAACTTCCAGAGAATCACACATTGAATATATGCATCAACGCATCACATTGTACCCCATAAATGCGGATGAGTAAAACCGTCCGTATTTAAAAGTCATACCACAAAACTAACCAACTAAATACACATACCTACAAGCTTTTGGGGAAATGAGAAGTTTCAGGAGCAGCGATTTGAGCGGGGAGTTAAATGCAGAGCAGCCCTTGACCCGAAATAAGTCTTCGGGGAGCTGAGAAGGAACAATGGCGGGCCTTCACCACCCCGAGTGCGCACGCGCACCTCCGAGTTTCCGGTGTGTCTCCCCTGGGCCCTGGCCCCTGCTGCTCTGGGAAAGGAAGGTCGCCCAGTGCGCAGGCGCACCTCCGAGTTTCCGGTGTGTCTCCCCTGGGCCCTGGCCCCTGCTGCTGTGGGAAGGGAAGGTCGCCCAGTGCGCACGCGCACCTCCGAGTTTCCGGTGTGTCTCCCAGGGCTATGGCCCCGGCTGGCTCCGGGAAGGTCACCGACGTCAGAAGTCAGAGACGTCACCGGGCACAGACAGCTGAGGCCAAGACGGTGGCTGCAAAGGGGGAAGCTTTTTATAGCCCGGCCTGGGAGGAAACACTGATAACCAGGGGAGACCTGCCCACGTGGCTGTCTGTCTGCTTCGCTCTGTTGGGAAAACTCTCGCCCTGCTTCTTTGAGAGCCTCCTGGGGCCTGCCTTATCTTGCCCAGCTGCGGGACATCCAGTCTCTAGCCAGCGACCTGACATCTGGAGACACCAAGGTTTCGTTTCCTAAAAATACTTTGTAGCCTATTTTTTTTTTTTTTAGTGTGAAATTCCGTTATGTCGCTTAAAATCTCAGATGTACAACAGGATGTATGATGGGCAAGCCCCCTCCCACCTGTTGCGCTCAGGAACCGGACTCCCCGTCGCAGGGAAATCGGGTTCCAGTTTTCCGTGTGCTCTTGCAGAGTTGTCTTCCACCCTGCAGTCTCTCCTGCCACGTGGATGTTCTTTTGTGAACGCATTTACGAAGAGGGTACCATACTGCATACACCGTGTCGCGTCCTGGTGTTTTTACTTGTACAGCTCGGAGTGGACATTAAGCCTGGCTGTTAAGATGCTCGTGCTGCACACCAGAGGACCTGGGTTCGGGTCCTGCCTCTGTGTCCTGACTGGTCTTCCTGCTAATGCATGCCCTGGGAGGCAGCGCGGGAGAGAGACCTGGAATGCATTCATGCCTCCCGGCTCTGACCATGGCCAAGCCTCCGCTGTTTGTGGGAATCTGGGGAGTGGACTAGCAGATGGGATGGCATTCTCTCTCTCTCTCTTTCTCACGCGCGCTCTCTCTCAAATGAATAAAAATAAAACTATATCTTGAGGCCATCCTGTATGCATAAAGAACTACCTTACTATTTGTTAAATGCATTATACTTGACTATTTGAGTATAGCATGCCTTATTTACCAGTTCCTCTTTAGATGGACATTTATGTTTTTCCAGTTTTTGTCATTACAACAATGTTACAATGAATATGTTATTTTGCATATCAGCAAATTTAGAGCAAGAACAAAGCCCAGGGGCAGGTGTTCCTTGCAGTGGTTAAGATGTTGCTTGGATGGGGTCGGTGCTGTGGTGCAGTGGGTTAAAGCCCCGGCCTGCAGTGCCGGCGCCTCATATGGGTGACGGTTCAAGTCCCAGCTGCTGTACTTCTGATCCAATTCTCTGCTATGGCCTGGAAAAGCAGTGGAATATGGCCCAAGTCCTTGGGCCCTTGCACTCACGTGGGAGACCCAGAAGCAGCCCCTGGCTCCTGGCTTTGGATTGGCTCAGCTCTGGCTGTTGTGGTAATTTGGGGTAGTCAACCAACGGATGGAAGACCTTTCTCTCTCTCTGGCTCTACCTCTCTCTGTAACTCTGTCTTTCAAATAAATGAAAATAAATCTTAAAAAAAAAAAAAAAGTTGCTGCTCGGGATACCCACATCCAGTACTGGAGGAACTGGGTTCAAGTATTCTGATTCTAGCTTCCTGCCAAGGCATGCCCCAGGGGGCAGCAGTGGTGAGCCAGGTACTACCTGGATAGAGGGAGTTCCCATAGAGGGAGTTCCCAGCTCCTGGCTTTGGCCTGGTACTGACTGTTGTGGCCATTTGGGAAGTGCAGCATGGATAGAAGACCTCTCTCTCTCTCTCTTTCTCTCTCTCTCTCTGTCTCCCTATGAAATAAATAAAAGATATTCTTAACCTTTAATGGGTTCTAAAATGGGAACTACTCGATATAAGGATGTCAGCATTCGTACAAGGGTACTTCAACAGGTCCACAGAAAATGCAGTTAAAAGATAAATTTATTTTGCTGCAAATAACTTTCGAAACCCACGCATACCCATAATTTGGACAGAAATTGGTAGGTTTCCCTTCTTAGTCTACCAATTGAAAGCACTCTCAGTAGCACAGAGTGCCCATTTCCTCACAACTTTGCTAATAAAGTGTTTCCAACCTTTTTACGAATCTTTGTTGTTGTGATGATGGCCTTTCAGTGTGGTTTCAATGTGTGTTGCTGGTACCATGAGTGAGAGTGAGAATCTTCCTGTGTTTAGGGGCAGTTGCCTGTCCAATGATCCACTGGTCTGTTTAGTGTGATACTGGTCTTTCTTAATTATGGATTTGTAGGAGCTCTTTCTGCAGTAGGGGTATTAAGGATTAATCTGTGACTTTCGTTGCACATGTTTCCCCCAGTTTGTTGCTTGGCCTTTCATTTTGCCACTGGTGGTTTAGAAATCCTTTTATTTTGCAGCTTCTGGATTTTCAGTCAGGACTTTGCCAGTCTAAAATTGTAATATATATATATATATATATGGCTTCCTTTTCACACATTTATGGTTTATTGTTTACCTTTAAATCTGCTCCATCTGAAATTTATCCTAGTTTAAAGCCTTAGGTCTGGCTGTAATATTAATTTTTCTGCAGATAGCCAACCAGTTATCTCCAACACTATTTACTAAGTAATCTTTCCTTCCCTACTCATTTGAAATACTGTCTCTATAATATACATATTTTAAAGTGTTCATATAATGTACAACAAAACTTTTCCATTCCCAACAACTGCCCTCAGAATCTTCATCATCTTAAAATGATTTTTAAGTCTCTTATCATCATTGTGAAATCACATTTTCGTGATTTTCTTCCCTTCATTTCTCTCTCTTCTTGGCTTTTAAAATGTTGATCTCTGTAGGTCAGTTCGCCCCTGCATAGATTGCTCACATTCCCAGCGTCAGCATTTCTGCTTTTCTGGAAAGGTATCCCTCCTGCTTGTAAAGATGATGTGTAGCTCGTCTGTCTCTTAAGAAGAAATGGCAAGTTCCGCCCATCCTGGCTGGTACCCCTCGGTGGCTATCAGTGTGAGATTGGAGTTTTGGTGCCATTTTTTTTTTTTTTTTTTGACAGGCAGAGTGGATAGTGAGAGAGAGAGAGAGAGAGAAAGGTCTTCCTTTGCCTTTGGTTCACCCTCCAATGGCCGCCACGGCTGGCACGCTGCGGTCGGCGCACCGCGCTGATCCGATGGCAGGAGCCAGGTGCTTCTCCTGGTCTCCCATGGGGTGCAGGGCCCAAGCACTTGGGCCATCCTCCACTGCCTTCCTGGGCCACAGCAGAGAGCTGGCCTGGAAGAGGGGCAACCGGGACAGAATCGGGCGCCCCGACCGGGACTAGAACCCGGTGTGCCGGCGCCGCAAGGTGGAGGATTAGCCTAGTGAGCCGCGGTGCCGGCCGGTGACAATTTTTTTTTTAAGCTTTATTTATTTATTATTTGAAAGCGAGGGTGAGGGAAAGTCAGAGGAAGAGATAGAGTTCTCCCAATCTGCTAATTCACTTCCCCAAATGCCCACAGGAGCTGTGGGCTGGGCCAGGTCAAAGCCAGGAGCAAAGAACTCCATCCGGGTATCACATATGTGTGGCAGGAACCCAAGTACTTGGGCCAGCACCTGTTGATTCCCAGGTGCATTAGCAGGACGCTAAATTGGAAGTGGGGGTGGCATTTTATCCCAGGCACTCTGATAGGGATGTGGGAGTCCCAAGCAGTGGCTTAACCTACTGCACCACAATGTCCACCCTGCAAAAATATCTTTGAAATCCATGCATAGTTTTTTCATAACATGCATTTCCGTTGTATTATGAAAAAACAATGTCTTTGGTACCGAAAAAGTTTTAATTCCAGTTTCCATAAACATGTGTGTGTGTGTGAGAGAGAGAGAGAGTAAGAGAAAGAGAAAGAGAGAGACCGAGTGACTGAGAGCCCACACCTGATTCCATTTGCTGACTCACTCCATGAATGCCTGCGAGGTGGGGCTGGGTTAGGCCAAGTCAGGAGCTGGGAACTCAGTCCAGGCCTCCCATGTGGGTGGCAGGACCTCAGTTGCTTGGGACCTCATTTATTGCCTCCTGGAGTCTGCATTAGCAGGAAGCTGGAGTCGGGGGCTGGATCCAGGAATCAGGCCCAGTTAGTTTCCCTGGTGAGTGTCCTAACTGCTACACTAAATGCCCACCCCTTTCTCTGACTTTTTGCAGTATCATCGTATTTCACCAATAGGGAAAAGTGGGAAGGAGCAGCTAGGAGAGAGACCCAGAAGTACCAGCAAGAGGAAAGACGAGGAATGGAGTGTCCCAGAGAGGTCAGCGATACAGGGAGATCAGCGAGGTTGAAGGTAAGGGGGAGAAAACAACGCATGTGGTGACAGTGAGACCACAGGTGCGTTCGCGAGTGTCGCACCTGCTGCATTCCAGTCTGCCCACGCTTCCCATCTCAGTGCTTCCTCTTCCAGGTGGCTGGCAGTGCGGCCAGCACTTGCATCTAGAATAATCAGAAAAGCCCAGTAACATGCCTGCATTGTCTGTCCGAGGGAAGCTGAGAGCTGCTGGGGAAAGGAGAGCTGGAAGGGCTTTAGGCACTGGTGAGGGAAGAGACCGCGAAGAGCGGGCTTGGCAGTCACTGCTGTCCTCAGCACGGGGGCAGGAGGCTTCGCACCCCAGCGCAAGCTTGCAGGGTGGGGTCTGGTGGACACTGCTGAGGAGCCAGAGAAAGCAAGACTGGGTGGAAGCTTCTGGAAGGCCAGGGAGCAGCCTCTTTCCAGCTAAAGACTTTTGCCCCATACTGGGGCTCTTCAGAGCAGGGCTTTTAAAAAGGAGGTGGTGAGGCCCGCTGTGGCATACCGGGTTAAGCTACTGCCTGCAGTGCCAGCGTCCCCTGTGGGCGCCAGTTGGAATCCTGGTTGCTCCACTTCTGATCAAGCTCCCTGCTATTGTACCTGGAAAAGCAGCAGCAGATGACACAAGTGCTTGGGCCCCTGCACCCACATGAGACAACCAGAAGAAACTCATGGCTCCTGGCTTCAATTTGGCACAGCCCCAGCCATTGCAAGCATTTGGGGAGTGACTAGCAGATGGAAGCTTTCTCCCTTTCTCTGTCTCTCTCTGTCTCTCTCTCTCTCCCCTCTCTCTCTGTAACTCTGCCATTCAAATAAAATAAATAAACCTTTTTAAAAAGCTGCTTTAGGGGCTGGTGCTGTGGCACAGTGGGTTTAGCCATAGCCTGCTGTGCTGTCATCCCATATGGACACCAGTTCAAGTCTCAGCTGTTCCACTTCTCATCCAACTCCCTGCTAATGTGCCTGGGAAAGCAGTGTAGGATGTCCCAAGTCCTTGGGCCCCTGCACTCATGTGGGAGACCCAGAAGAAGCTCCTTGCTTCAGCCTGGCCCTGTCCTGGTCATTGCAGCTGTTTGGGGAGTGAACCAGCAGATGGAAGACCTTGCTGTCTCTGTCTCTCCTCACTTTGGCTCTGCCTTTAAATAAATAAGTAAGTATCTAAAAAGAAAAAAAAAACCATGCCCAGATCATCCAGCAACCCCACTAGTGGTGTACACCCCTAAGACATAAACACATTGTATGAAGGAGATACCTGCACCATGTTCCTAGCAGCACTGTTCACAACAGCCCAAATACAGAATCAACCAAGGTGTCCATCATCAGATGAATGGATAATGTGGTATTTATATATATACTGTGAAGTGTTATTCAGCTATATAAAATCATGAAATTCTAGCACTTGCAGTAAAATGGTTGGAACTAGAGGACATCACGTTGAGTTTGAAGTAAGCCAGACATATAAAGACAAATACTACATGTTCTCTCTTGTATGTAGGTGCTAAAATTTAAAAAAAGAGCAAAAAAGAGAGAAAAATGCCTGTGTAGATCAGTTTTGCTGCAAATAGTTTTTTTTTGTCAAACTTTGTTTTAAGTCTTTATCAATTAAATTGTTAAGAATTATATACTAACGTATGTTATCACATACTATGGCTACTTTAAACTTTACTGTATATGAGTGAAGTTGAACATCTTTACATTTGATTGTTACTAAAACCCCTCACCTGGAACATTAAACTTTCACTATAATATAAATTAAAAATATGTTATCTCAGGGCTGGCATTGTGGCACAGAGCATTAGGCCACTGCCCATGATGCTGGAATCCCCTATGAGTGCCAGTTCAAGTCCTGGCTGCTATACTTCTGATCCAGTTCGCTGCTAACACACCTGGGAAAGCAGTGGAGGATGGTCAAAGTGTCTGGACCATGCCACCCACATGAGAGACCTGGATGGAGTTCCTGGCTCCTGGCTTTGGTCTGGTCCAGCCCTAATCATTATGGCCATTTGGGAGTGAGCCAGCAGATGGAGTCAGTCTCTCTCTCTCTCTCTCTTTTTTTCTCTGAATCTCCTTTTCTCTCTATAACTCTGCTGGTCAAATAAATAAATCTTTAAAAAAAGTTATCTCAAAAATAATAGACAAGGTATTAAGTTGAAAAAAATTTAAAAATGCATGAATTCCAAAAACATTTTTAGTGCCCAAATGAATTTTTTTTTTTTTTTTTGACAGGCAGAGTGGACAGTGAGAGAGACAGAGAGAAAGGTCTTCCTTTGCCGTTGGTTCACCCTCCAGTGGCCGCCGCGGCCGGTGCACCGCGCTGATCCAAAGGCAGGAGCCAGGTGCTTCTCCTGGTCTCCCATGGAGTGCTGGGCCCAAAGACTTGGGCCATCCTCCACTGCACTCCCTGGCCACAGCAGAGAGCTGGCCTGGAAGAGGAGCAACCGGGACAGAATCCGGCATTTCAACCAGGACTAGAACCCGGGGTGCTGGTGCCACAGGCGGAGGATTAGCCTATTGAGCTGCGGCGCCGGCTCCAAATGAACTTTTTTTTTTTTTTTTTTTTTTTTTTTTTTGACAGGCAGAGTGGACAGTGAGAGAGAGAGACAGAGAGAGAAAGGTCTTCCTTTGCCGCTGGTTCACCCTCCAATGGCCGCCGCTGCAGCCGGCGCACCGCGCTGATCCTGGCAGGAGCCAGGAGCCAGGTGCTTTTCCTGGTCTCCCATGGGGTGCAGGGCCCAAGCACCTGGGCCATCCTCCTCTGCACTCCCTGGCCATAGCAGAGAGCTGGCCTGGAAGAGGGGCAACCGGGACAGAATCCGGCGCCCCAACCGGGACTAGAACCCGGTTTGCCGGCGCCGCAAGGTGGAGGATTAGCCTATTGAGCCGCGGCGCCGGCTTCAAATGAACTTTTAAAATCCATTTTCCGTGAACTTTCTGAAGTACTTTCATATATAAAAAGGAAAAGATGAACATTGATGAACAGATGAAATTCACTATTACCTTTCCCAGGAGGTGTTACGTGGTCTTTTCTTTCTAGAAATCTTTTCCTCCTCCAGGAAGCCCTGTAAGGTTATCTGTGCATTGTGCTCACCTCTGTCCTGGTTAAAGCATGTAGGCTCTAAAGTCACATTGGCTTCAAATTCAAGGTCAGCCACTTGTTAACTTTGTGACCTTGGTTGAAGTACTATTCTTATTTGAGCCTCAAATTTCCTTGTCTGTAAAATGGCGTTAAAATAATTAACTGGTAGCCAGTTAGTCAGAGCCAGCTCCAGGGCCCTGGGTTCCTGTACAAGCAAATCAAAGTCAACTCATGGAAACAGTATGATGGAACTTGAGCTTGACCAATCGGAAACTACCAACTCACCTCTAATTGGGACGCTTCATTGGAATGGCCTCATAAGGTTATTGCTCGGTTTTAACCCATCAGCTACTTCCCTTTGCTTTCCACATTCACCTTTTGAGAAAGTCTTCCCCTCAGTCCCTTTTTGGGGAGTCCCAAATCCCCCAGAATGATCTGGAGTCGTTCAATTTGTGAGTTGTAGTCTCTTCAAATACTCTAAAATTTTAAAGTGCCCAAGTTTATCTCTTGGCAGAGAAATTAATCCAAGGGAACCTCAAAAAGTTTGTGGAAAACTAGTATTAAAATGTCTATTTTGCTGCAAAATAGTTTTGAAATTCACACAGTTTTTTGTTAATACACATTTCCGCAAGATTTTTTTTTTTTAAGATTTTATTTATTTGAAAAGCAGAGTTACAGAGAGGCAGAGGCAGAGAGAGAGAGAGAGAGAGGTCTTCCATCCACTGGTTCACTCCCCAGATGGCAGCAATGGCTGGAGCTGGGCTGATCCAAAGCCAGGAGCCAGGAGCTTCTTCCAGGTCTCCCACGCGGGTGCAGGGGCCCAAGGACCTGGGCCAACTTCTGCTTTCCCAGGCCATAGCAGAGAGCTGGATCAGAAATAAAGCATCCGGGACTCAAACCGGCACCCATATGGGATGCTGGTGTCGAAGGCAGCAGCTTTACCCACTACACCACAATGCCAGCCTCAGTGAACCTGCATTCCAAACATGCACCATGGATGCTTTTCTTGTCAGTGGCCCTTTGGCTACACCTGAGACACCATGAAGTGGGTGAAACCAAGCTAGCAAGGGAGCTGTAGGAAATGCAAAACACGAAGGCAGTTGAACATCTGCCCAGGACCAGTAGCAAAAGAGTGACAGTTAAGGAGCTGCCCCGCCAGCATTGGCTGCCTGTCTTCCCCTCCCTTTTGGCGAGCCCATCTCAGCGGGCTCGGCCCGGAGGACTCTGGTGATGGAATTGACAGCCACCATCTGGGAAGTGCATCAGTGGACAGGAAGCCCCCACCCCCACCCCCCGCAGTGGCACCTTCTCCACAAAGATGCTACTGAGTGTGGCGCCCCCAGAGGTCCTGAGCTTGACGTCATCCCCCTGACTCGCAGTCATTATTCTCAGGTTGGTCTGAGGGCGGGGGATGAGGGCTGTGAAGAGAGTGAGAGTGACACATGTGGGACATTGTCAGATGCAAATGCTGCAGGCTGCCCTGATGAGAGAGTGGCTGAACTCTCTCCCAGCGGTGGCGGTGGGCTCCTGCGTGCAGCGTGCGGGCCGTCCCAGATTCCAGCCAGAGGATTCTGTCATTCCTCCAGCGTCTGCTTTGCCCTTGTCTCCTGTCGTCCCTCCTTCTAGCCTGTGCATCAACAGCTGGGCTGTTTTGTGGCATATTGTGCACCATGTGGAGGAGATTTTTAATAGTGACTGCAGGCAGATGGGACCAGGACTCAGGCTTGCCTTTGGGACATCGGATGGCACACTCTTCCCTGTGCATCCGGCGACAGAGATGTCTACCTCCTTGTGAATGGAATAAAGCCTCCCCTGTGAGGAGTGGCTTCCTCCTGCCTATTTATCCAGGCACTGCGCCCCTGAAGCCCAGAGCACCAATGGGAACCTGCACTCACTGTCCCTTTCCTAATATGCAGAATGGCCT